CCCCGGGCGTGGGACTCACCGAGCACATCACCACGAAGACGAAGAGGCCCGTGACTTTCAGCCGCCGCGCACAGCGCCTGCGGAGAAAAGCCGGGTCTGCGTCACACGCGGGCAGTCCCGTCCGCCTGTGCCCAGGCTCGCCAAACCTCACACGCCTCTGGGAGGCCCTGGGGACCCCGTCTCAGACCTCGTGTTTGGATTCTCTCTGTGACACGGTAGGAAGGGCCACACGCCCGCCTGTCACCTCCGGCCCAGGGATGATTAGCCAATCATCTGTCAGGCCCGGGAGAGGCCGGAGGCCGGTCAGCACAAAGAAGCTACACGTGCCCGGCCGGCGTGGCTCAGTGGTTGAGCGCTGACCTATGAACCAGGAGGTCAGGGTTCAATTCCCCGTCAGGGCACAGGCCTGGGTTGTGGACTCCATCCCCAGTGCGGGGCATGCAGGAGGCAGCCGATCCGTGATTCTCTCTCATCATTGACGTTTCTATCTCTCTCTCTTTCTCCCTTCCTCTCTGAAACCAATAAAAATATTTAAAAATATATTTAAAAATATATATTTTCAAAAGCTTCACAGAGACTGGCCCCCGATGCAGAGAAACGGTGGCACTTGCTGAGTGGGTCCTTCTCACCGACCCGGGGCTTCCCGCAGCCCACGTGGGTGGAGGCCACAGGATGCCGTGGAATGAGGCGGGGACACCAGGCGACGGGGAGACAGCCGCACAGACGGGCTTGGCCCTGTGGGCCCCTCAGCTGCTGCAGATCCCAAATGGGGGCCCGGGGTCCTGGTCCGAGCCCCCGCCCGTCCCCGAGATGCCGCTTTCCAACACGCGGGTCTCAACAGGGCCCGTCCTTCCGATCCATGTCCATAGGGGAGCCCAAGCGACAAAGCAGCGACCACGGTCCGCGCCACCCGACACGGCCTCCTGGGAGCGTGAAAACCCCGCCCCCCTTCACCTGCTGGGTGGGCGGGCGTCGGGAGCGCGAGACCCCCAGCCCCGTCCCAGGCCAGTGGGCCGCGCTGTGGGACCGTCACCCTGGACCACACGGGGCCCCGGGTCCTCTTACCTCAGCTTGGAGAGGCGGAACGGGACGGGAGCCCCTTCCAGGAGGTCCCCCCTGTCCGAGGAGGCGGATCTGGAGGACCCGGCCGCCTCACTGCCCAGCAGCGACGTGCCCTCCCACTCGGCCGAGCTGAGGTCCCAGGACTCCGCCGTGATGAGCTCCGGGTGGTAGACGGGCAGGCACCGCGCCCTGGAAAGCAACATGGGGGTTATTTTCACGAGACGAGGCCCGTCTCCGACACAGGACCACATCTCACGCTGGCGTGGGACATGCGGACTCCACCCCGGCTTCGAAAACGAGGACAGATGTCGAGGGGCTGGGCCTGGCCCTACGGACGGACATCACAGAACAACTGGGTCCAGGGGAGTCTGAATCCCTCGGATCTTCAAAATGCACTGTGGGCCTTCGAGAACATCAGCCGGCCCGGCCGGCGTGGCTCAGGGGGTGAGCATCGACCTAGGAACCAGGAGGTCGGGTTCGATCCCCGGTCAGGGCACAGGCCCGGGTTGTGGGCTTGATCCCCAGTGTGGGGCGTGCAGGAGGCAGCCGACCCATGATTCTCTCTTCTCATGGATGTTTTTCTCTCTCCCTCTCCCTTCCTCTCTGACATCAATAAAAATATATTAAAAGCAAACAAACAAACACCATGGCCCCGGAGCTGACAGTAAGGGGCAGAGAGCCTGGCCCCTGATGCGTCAGAGACAAGTTCCTTTCTCGGGAAGAAGGCCTCCCCCTGAGACCTCGGGCGATGCTCAGAGAGGCCTCCTCTGGCGGAAAGGGGGTACTCACCCCCGCTCCTGGGAGGGGCCCCCCAGCAGAGGCGTGCTTTCTGTGCAGCAGGCTTCCCGGGGCCCGGAGCTGCAGAACCCGGTGAAAGGCAAGTGAGACCTGAAAGACACACAGAGCAGCACAAGCGACAGGTGCCGCCCCCGCCAGCAGGGGGCGCCCTCGAGACACAAGAGAGTGAGGGGCAGGGATAAAAGTCTCCTGTGAGGGTCTACATTCAGTCTCTGCAGAAAAAAGCTGGCCCTAGCTGGTCTGGCTCAGTGGACTGAGCGTCGGACTGCGGACTGGAGAGTCCCGGGTTCGATTCCAGTCAAGGGCACATGCCCGGGTTGCGGGCTCGATCCCCAGTAGGGGGCATGCAGGAGGCAGCTGATCGATGATTCTCTCCCATCATTGATGTTTCTCTCTCTCTCCCTTCTTCTCTAAAATAAATAAAATAATGTTAAAAAAAAAAAAGCTGGAGTTCTGTCTGGCCGGTGTGGCCCAGTGGTTGAGGAAGAGAGCGAGAGAAACATCCGTGATCAGAGAGAATCACCTGTCGGCTGCCTCCTGCACCCCCCACACCGGGGACGGAGCTGGAAACCCGGGCACGTGCCCTGACCGGGAATCGAACCGTGAGCTCCTGGTTCGTCGTGGGTCGATGCTCAACCACTGAGCCACACCGGCCGGGCGCTAAAACCATTTTAAACTCACCTCTGCTCCGTGAGGAAGGAACCAAAATCCTGGTCCACAGGAGCCCAGCAGCTCTGCCCGGCCGCCTGCTGGGGGTAGGG